AAAACACACCACAAGCCTCACCAAACGTCTCCTTGCTACCGCAATCTCGCCCACAGGAAGCCGCGACCGCGTGGCAGCAGGGCAAATGGCCGCGGATCCGGTTCGTAGCTCAAGGCGGAGTTTGCATGTCGAGGTAAATTTTTGGGGCCGGAGCTGGTCGTATCTTGAAAAATCCGTAAGGAAGGACGTTCGTAACTAGAGGTACCACTGTATTCTAGTCTCTGTTTACATTAAAGTAGAATGGGTAAGAGAGCTTTTGGGTGACATTTGGAAGAAGACTCACTGAGCATGAGGAGCAAGAAATAACAATAGACTTTTAATTCCTGAGTTGAGAGGAGCATTCAGACAGTGAGATACTAGCCGGGAACAACCACTTCCCAATGGAATTGGAAATCACTGGCAAACTGTATCATTAATATTAAAGGTTTTTTAAAGTAATTTTCCATAGGTTGGGTGGTAAGTAGCACTCAGCATAGGTTACCACTCCATTACATTTGCAGCCATTTGATTAGAAAGCAAGAGATTTGAGTTTCCATTGTTCTCTGTGGTAGGACACTGGAAATATTTTAAGTTTTGCTCTACTGGAACACAGCCTACTCAAAATATCCTGACAAAATATTTTGAGTGGGATTGGTTGATCCATGTTCAGAACAAAACCTTTTTTTTTGTGCACAGGAATATCATACAGTTTCTCAAGTCCCACTAAACAGCACATCTGATGTCACTACTCACAGAGACATGAGGGGAATTCAAAAGACATCCTCCATTTGTGTGTCTGGTATAGAGAAGAGGAGCAGAACCAAACGCCTCAAAGAAATTCCCAACATCTCTGTCTTCCGTGCAAAGGAGGAAGCGACAGCATGAAGGTTTCCCTTTCAAACATACGATGGCAGGACATGCCATTCAAGCACTGGGTGCAAATGTAGAGGATGTCATTCATATATTTGTATGGTTGCTTTCCAAGTCCAAACCCCATGGTTTATGAGAATTTCAATTAAGACATTTGGAGGACACCAGTTTCAAAAAGGCAAACATCTGATACTTGGAAGACACTATGACTGGTTGGCTGTTCATATGGGCTATAAATGCAACATTTTGTTGCAACTTTCACTCCCATTATTTGCAAGCTGCTTTACAGACTTCTAGAGTAAGTTTTTCAAATTACCTCCATTTTAGCATTTGTCCAACGAGGCACTTCTACAATCATATTAAATACAACCTAGCAGAAAAAAAAAGAAAGCAAAATTTAAAACACACCAAAAGCAGGTTAGTAAATATAATATACTACCCAGCAAATGCTATTTTCCCCTTCAGTCCTAGAGAAGACAAACTATCAGCTCCATTTGTGTGTGTATATGTGCCTTCGAGCCAGTGTTGACTCCTGGCAACTGCCTCAACAAGTCTCTGCAGTTTTCTTGGCAAGATTTCAGAAGTGGTTTGCCATTGCCTCCTTCCTAGGGCTGAGAGAGAGTGACTGGCCCAAGGTGACCTAGTTGGCTTTGTTCCTAAGGCAGGAATAGAAGTCACAGTCTCCTGGTTTATAGCCTGGAGCCTTAACCACTACGTATGTACGTGTGTGTGTGTGTGTGTGTGTGAGAGAGAGAGAGAGAGAGAAACTACAGAACCAATGTTGCTCTGTACAAAGCCATAATGTATTGTCATATTTTGACTTAATATGTCGTGTTAAGCCAATCACTGTGTGAAGCCAATCAAGATTTATGGCTTAACATATTGGAGGAAATCAACCAAATATACTCATAAATGTATTCCGTAACCTATAGCTAAACCATGGCATAGCATATTGTGTAAATTCTTCAGTGCCAAAGTAGGAGTATAAATCTACGCTACGAAAATCCCAATTAATTTAATTTTCCATTTGTACCTGACGGTAAATAGTTTTATGCTACCATCCATTTCCAACATTCCCAAAAGAAAAACTATAGATTAAGATGATAAATAAACTAAGGCAGTGACAGGCAGAAGCAACTAACTTCTTGCAGGAATTAATTATGTCAGGAAAACAAAAATGTTCACTAAAAACTTTCTCCAAAGAGCTTTTGGCAATGAACCTCATAAAACTGACCAAGAAGCACCACACTCAAATCTTAATGCTTTTCATCTGCCACTTATATCTGTTGTTTCCAGAATTAGTCTTTGTCAGCTGAGTCAAATCTTAGCCTGCAGGCTAGAGGGACACAACTGCCAAAGAGAAAAACTTAGCTATCCCTAAGCGGATCTTCCCTTCATATAGTTTATATATTAAATGCTCTGTTGCATTATATAAAGTCCAGGGTTCAGTAAGAGAGAACAATACATGGTTTCATGGACTTTATATTTTTGAATAATTCAGCTACTAATCTTTTTATGAGAACAAATACTGAGAGCAAAAGAGGGCCATCAAACCAAACTAGGTGTGAAAAACTAATATGCAACTCCTCAATGTGGATTAAACACAGTGTCCCCAAAGATCACCCTGGCAGCAAAATTGGATCTCGTTCCCAATCTATCGGTGACAGGATGAATACTCTTGGCATTCCATTTCCAAGGAAAAAGAACTAAAGTGGGGTCAGAGAAGGTTGTGTTTCATTTCTGCAACCCACAAAGTGCCCAAGAGATCTCTTCTATTAAGCCAGAAAAGCCACCATTATTCTTCAAAACACCAGGCACTGCTGAAGGGGGTCCAGAATTTTATAAAATGATTTATTATAACTGCTTGTATACTGCCTACTTCCACTGATCCAAGGTGATGTATAATAGTTAATAATCAGAAAATAAAATCATAAAAACCTAACACCATAATCCATATAACTTTCCGTTAAAGTCATAACTCCATCAAATTAAAGATAGAAGACTCCACACTTAAATATTTTAATGCATGAAATGGAATAAGCTACAAAATATAAAAACTCAGCTTTGATAAAATCATCATCATCTAAATTTCCTTCCCACAAATCATGTACAAGATTGTAAATCATCTAAAACAGGGTCTGCAATCGCACCTCATTTCCATTGTTCTTTGATCTCTTTGCGGGAATCTCCTTATCCTATACAAGAAGAAAAATCAATATAGAAACAGTTTTCAATCATAAATAAGTAGGTCTAAAATATAACAATGAGTGAAAAAATAGTTCTGTCAAAAATTACCAAATGCAAACCATGAAAAATTAAGACTGCTATCCTTTTTACAAGTCACACAAATCATAATTTGTTCTAAACATGGTATATTCAACAAGTTGCAATGACTGGATTTACACATGATCAGGCTATGAACCATGGTTTGTAATTCCCAGTGGCTGCATTTCTACCACACACTTAGCCAAAACCAAGGAAGTTACATTTTAATGCCATATGTATAAAACCAGCCTCTAATTTAAGACTGCTTCTTTAATGCTGTTCCAAACAGACACTTGGAAATAAATACATTGAAATCTTATTCACACATAACACTAAACCATGGTACAACGTATTTCTTCTTCTCTTATCATAACACATGAGCCCATCCATTATGGTTCCGTATTACATGCTGAGCAAGCCTCTGTGGCTTGTTCAACAACCCATTGTTAAAAACCCTGAGCGCATCATATATGAACCAGGGTTCAATAAAAGACACAGAAATAGGTACATTTTCTCTGATATAACACTCAATATGAGTGCAGTAAACAGAAAGACACCTAGTCTCTTCAAGGTAGTTCCTAATGTGGCTTTTGGTCTAAAATTACAGCTGAGTGTAGAAATGTTTTGGATTACAACAGAACTAGAAAGCTGCTTTTTTCATTAGAGATGGGAGCAACAGCAGCAATTTGCAGCATAATGACCTAAGAAGTGGATGATATCAAACTTTAATTATAGTTAAAGACTATATGGCTGAAAACTAGAACTCCAGAGATTAATTCACACCTGCTTTTTGGTGCTGAATAGAGTCAGTACTTCAACAAAAAGGATATTTTTCATATTTAATTACCTCACTTGCTTCAGCAAACAGAGGGATGTCATGGAATGGGGAAATGCATTTTCCCTTTGAGTTCTCTGCAAGAGGAAATAAAAAGGTATATGCCAACAGAGGCAAAAACAAGCATTTCAGCTGCTTTCATCTTAAATTAATTTGTCACATGCAGTCTATTTGTTTAGCTAAAAGATACATACTGGCTTATTCAGACAATCACTGCTTCTTCAGTTACACAAGATAAGCTTGAACCTTCTGCTCGGACTCTTTCTCAGCAGAAACAAATCAGGAGATCTTTAATTTAGCGCAGTTTCTCGTCTTACCTAGGACAACAAACTAGAGCTTTAGGCTTAGGGATAGGACTGGTGCTAAACAAACATATGATCAGCTTTGCTAGAGTTGGCAGCCCCATACACCAGCTCTGTAGTAATCTCTGGCAACACTATTTTAGGACTTAATGACACCACCCATATTATCAGAATAACATTCAGTTCTTCATCCTCTGATACGGTACATGCCACCATCTAACAGCAAACTCGCATTTGCACTGGATAAATGACTATGCCAAATTAAAACACGGACATAAGAAATTGCAAAAACGCAACGGGGGAAACTCTCAACTCATTGAAATGTTCTGGCTGTCTTTGCACTAGTGCACAGAACCATACTAAACAGCCATATTTTAGTTTAGCGTCCTTTCAAAACACAGCCTTTGTAGTTAATTCATGGTTTAGCATGTTCACTGAAACTTAGATTTGGTTGATTGAATCACAGTTTACTAAATCATTTTTTTAAATGACATGTGCTAGAATTCATCATGAGATTCAACACTTTCTCATGGATTAAACAAAGAACACCATTTCATATCACTGTGCTTCAATATACACAAGTTATTGTTTAGTTGGCTGTGTAGAGTTTACAAACCACACTGAAGTCACAACCCTTCCATAACTTATATTTTGATTGTGTGTTGTGTAGACCCAGACAAAATGTGTTAGCTAGTATTTAATGCAAGAATATCTGCATATCATATCTAATCACTGCTTTGTTACTATTTATAACTTGGTTTCTCACAACTTTCCAATTTCTCTTCTTTCCTGACCTCCAACAATAGCTGTGTGCACACATGCACACTCTTTTCTCAAGATTACATTTTGTTCATCAGACTGTGATCCACAAAAGCATATATGACAATAAATGTCCTAATGTTACAGCAATTGCCCTACATCAAAGTACAGATGGTATAATTTATAATCTCCAAGGCTTTCATCTTACCATATTTATTTTAGTCTATCTATATAACTGATTAGCATAGTTTTGTTTCACAATATAATATACTCTCAATTTTTCCGCTTATCATATATGACCAAACACTATACTGTACTATGCTTAAATGCAGATTAGCCTTTTTTCAAAAAGTCATCTAGATATTCAGATGAAACCATTAGCAAATCCAAACTGGTCTTTCGCCATCCTTACAAAATTGAGAGTGAGGAATGGATAGTGAGGCAACATGTGCTAATGCTGATCAATACTTCTCTGACTTCCTAAATTGGCTGGGAAGGATCACTTCCTAGCCTGGGTTGACTGACAAATTAAAATTCTCCCAGCCACCAGGAATTCAACCACACAATAATTTCATCAGAAACTGAGTTAATATTTCACCTTAAGTCATGTTTTAACCATGATTGCTACCACATTTTGCATCTAGTTGAGCTAGGGCTTAACAATAGCTAGATTTATTCATTTATATCCCACCAAATCATATGACTCATGGCAGATCACTCCTTAGGCTAATACATGACATAGCTGTAACAAAACAGTAACCCGTAGTTAACTGAACCATGGTTTATCAAATGAACCCCACTGCTCACACAGTCACTAAACAATATAGTAAACAAAAAACCACATTTTTATCTTAGTCTGTGGTGCAAATCCAATTATTTGAAATCGAAATCGCATCAGATTTTGGCTGCACTTACACGTCGCCCTGGCCTACAACTGGGCAACCACATTTGGGTCTAGCGGTCGGAATGCTCTGCAAAATCAGAAAACTGGCTTAACTTGGAAAGAAGCCACGTTAACCGAGGCTGCGTATGTCGTATGAACACAGCCTCTAAATCTAACTCACGGGTCAAGACAAGTTCTAAAGTGCTGCACCATCCGTATGATCAGAGGCAAAGCATTTCCACCAGCCTCTCTTTCCCTCTGCTCTGTATCTCCACACTATTCCCAAGGATGCCGCAGCCATCTCTTTCGTGTCAGGACCCGGTGGAGAGGAGAATGCAATAAACTTCAGCCGCGTACTGTATAACTGAACTCGGCTATGCTCCCCTAAACGTCCACGTTTATAACCAATTAAAGGAATCTGGGCAAGCGCAGCCGCTGGTGCAGACACCTGTCAGCCTTAACTCGACCGACACTTCTGCATACGTAAATATGAGCCTTCGCTGGGCCCCCAAAACCCGACCCTAAATTGTTATGGCTGCCGCATAGGAAACCTGACAGCTCATAGGACATGGAGAAGCAATGGGGGACTTGACCATGTAATTCCAGGCAAGGATGAGCTTAACCTGGAGAACTATCTACCCCCTCCCGCCCCGAAGAACAAACACGCGCAGAGAACTTTATTATGGACGTCACTGGAGCCGGAGGACGGCCCAGATCAGCCGCTGCCCCGAGCAAGACGACAAACAAAACCACCCAAAGTGTGCTCAATGACTGCCAGGCTCGTGCTTACGTCACAGCGACCGACAAAGGGAACGGCCCGCCTCCGAGCCCCATTGGGCAGGGCGGAGGCGGGTCCGAGCACCTCCCTGGACGCCATCAAAAGGCGTCCCCGGCCGAGAAGCCCCTCCGCGCGTCCCAAAGGCTTCCCGGCGCCTCCGCTGCGGTTCTCCTGCCCTCCGGCAGCTACTTACTAAAATAGAGGCGGAAGTCTGCTGAGCG